ATGTGCGTATGGTCGTTGCATCACGAATGTACAGTCACAAATGACTGGGTGGAGACCTTCAAAAACCAGCTGTGCACGAGAACCTGTCCAGACCAGGGAAGCGCCAGTCAGATTTCACTCTTTGCCCCGAGGGCTCTAAACCAGGATCCAAAAAAGCACTGGCTCATCAAGCTTGCAGAGGTGCATTCACGTCTGTTGGAGCAATCGGCAAGCGAAAACATGCCGGCTTCCAAAGATTCTTGGCCCAGCCGTAGCATGCGAGCACTTGGCATTGCTTGGACTCGACATCGGGAGAAGGAGGGGAAGGGGGGGGAATGTCAGAACCCACCGAGTGGCCGAAGACGTCTTCACTCGCGTGGCTATCGCTTATCGAGCGAAACTGCGTTGCGCGTGTTTGCTCCGAACGGCGTCAGTTGGTGCCCCCTTGGTGTCAAAGTGCGAGGATAAGAAGTGAGGCTCCTGCTGTCCTTGCGGCGTGAAGTCACCGTGCCCGTGAACAGCCCTGTAAAATGACACCGCAACCACTACCTCCCATGTCGGTTGAATAGCCACTCGCTAACCCAATGCCAGTCGGTGCTCCCCATCGTGCATGGCAGAGCGACGTGTGGACCATGTCCAGAATTTCTAATGGGTGTTTTAAGGAACTGTGAACTTTAGATTCGCAATAGGCAAATTAAGTGATAAACCACCATTCGCTGCACATGGTGGTTGGGTGTTTTTTGTAGTCAACAGTATCCCTGTAATTAATTCCCCTTCCCCCTTGTTTAGGTGTCACATATTAATTAAATAACAGAACGGATTATTTCGTGTTGTGATGAACGTAGTGGCAGTGTAGGTTACACAAACCTATTGTATACAAGATGTTCCAATTGGAAATGATCAATTTCTCACACCGCTGATTTAAATGCGTATGAATCGATTTATAACTCATGCATCGTTCCACCCTGAGCCACTGCTGATCAGACGCAAATTATTATCGTGCCCTTGCGAATCTTAAGAGGCCTGTTTGCATTTGAACTTTACATTTTTTGTCGATGATAGTGACCACTGGCTGGAGCGGGGGGGGGGGTGCCTGAGAGAGACTCAGCCATCTCCAACAGGATGCACGTACCAACGCAACACGCACATTCACAGCAGCGTGGGCTCCACAAAAGCATCCGTCGTCACCTTCCTAGCATCTCCGCTCGTCGGACCACAGCGGACGCAGATGCATTCCACGCCCAACCCTGCTTTTGCAGATAATGTGAAAACAAAAAAAAACATGAACAAAATATAAATTTTTTAAAACTTTCTTTAATATGAAAGGGGCATCGCGTAGAAGCTGTCAGATTTTGTTTTGTAATAGGAAGCCAAGTTGTTGAGTACTGAGCTGTGTAGACTGGTGAATCGCAGTTCAGTCAACTGTCTGCACGCAATTTACTGCACGCAAGTGATAGCTAATTGAGCTTCGTTTCTAGGTCGAAGGTTAACGCGCATTTTTGTAAAGCCACCCCTACACTTTCCATCTCGCCATTCCTTGTCCTTGGTGGCTGATCTTATTAATGAACAATCGCAAGCTTTCTGCCCAGTGGCAGGGTCATCACTTAATCTCCCTCCATCCCGTCCGATCCCACTTCTCCTCCTTCACCTCCCTTACTCGGGAAGGACAGTCAAGGTTGGTGTTTCTTTGGCATCCTTGACACTGTTTATGGGATACCCTTACTGACTGGGTTGGTTTGAAAATCTCCCTTGAATGATTAGCATCATAAATTCTCTCCAAATGCTGTATACATTAAAAAAAATACAATTTCTACAAAAAATATTATTCTGATGAATTCTTAGTTTTTGCAGGGTAAAGTCATACCCAGGATAAATTAAAATAAAAAATGTAAAGCAATATCCATTTAACCGCTACAGGGGTCCTCCGTTAATCGGGAATCGCGCTTCGTTTTTCGTATATATTTTCTCGCTCGGGTATTCAGCGCCCAGTGGCATCCGCGACGGCGGCAACAAGCTCGCCGAACAATAACCGTGACGCGTCGGATAGGGGGCCCCCCCGTGCCAGGATAAGGTGAGGCTCCTTTGTGAGCGAGGGGAGTGTGAGCGCGCGCACACAGCTCGCCGCTCAGCGGGGGCCTGCCGTTTGGGTGGGTGGGGGGCAGGAGGGGCCGACAATGTCGAGGAAGGAAGCACGTTGCACAACACAAAGCGAGCCGGGTTGAGCGCCCGGTTATGTCTCCGACACAAACACCGCCATTGAGTTTGGGTTTTTTTTTGTCCAACGCACATCGGCTTAATCATATCCTGCCCTCGGCGGGACAAAGCCAAGCCTTATTTTTTTTTCTCTTCGGCCCGTACAATTTATCACACGTTTGTTCTGCGCGGGCGTCGGGTGCCGCGTTGTGCAATGAGCTGAATCGTAAACCCCCCATAAACGGCGAGCAAGCGGGCTGGCGGGCGAGCGAACGTGTAATTTTAACCTCTCGGTAGTGCGAGTAGAACGGAGTGAGTTCAGGATACACTTGTCAAAACATTTATCCGGGGTTCAATGAAGAGGGAAAAAAAAAGAAATATCAGGTTCTGTTTGTGTTACGAGCTGAATTGCTGCAATCGCACATTGTTCGATAACAATTTGTAAAAGAAAAAATGCGTTCGATATTTTTCAGGCAGGGCAGCTCCGTCATGTTGAATGCATTGTTTATAAAGAAATGCCTTGTTTTTTTGGGCAGATTTGGCAATTAAACCTGTTTGTAAGTGCGAAAGCATGTTTGTTTATGGCCTTCAATTGTACGGACTTGTACATAAAGGTAATATCCATAATGAATTATAATTGAACAGCAATTTGAATGGCAAGGTTCACATTTTGCTAACAAGTTCCTTAAATACTTGTGTTTTTTAAACCAAAAAACTTGAGTGATCTTCAACGCATTCATGAGAGAAACATTCTAAACGATCACAGCCTCCGTGTTGGTGAACACCTGGGACTCTCAAGTCCTAGGATACCTGGGATTCCAAAATCCCATACCTGTCGACCAAACACGGTTTACCCACATTCTTGTACAGGGAAATTGAGTTTTTAGGTCCATACTGCGTACAGCCGTTTAAATTTGTGCACCAAAGAAAATGCGTCTATTTGTGATGGGACTTTGTGGGATGAACGTTGAGATTTATAAGGGCACGGGGTAACCAAGAAGGTCTGGAATGAAATCCCAATGTTGCGTGCACCCCCCATGACTATGGCGCACATTCGGAGGTTTAGAGGGATGATGACACTTGTATAATACATTCTTGACATAGCCGAAGCTGCTGTACTTTTATCATCTGTTGTAGTGATTAGACGATAGCTTTTGTGGTCACATTTACAATGTGCCCGTAGTTTGGTTTAGTTTCAGGAAAGTTTCCCAAACTCGACTGCCTGTGTGGCCCTCCATGGCCCACCTTTCCATGTTTTACCTGTCTTCTGATTTCAGATATTGATGCTCTCCAATGCATACTGCACACACCAGATGATTGGTAATGCAGAATGTGCTAATGCAAAAGAAGGTGGTACATCTTTTGTGTACGTGTGTGATCCACATGATTTCAAGACTGCTCTTTATTTGAGTCTGTGCCCTCTCGGTATCTTTATATCCAAGCTACCTTTTATATCCCTTGCCACGATTGGTTATCACACGTCATTCTAAAATATATTTAACATGTATGTATCTACTTGGAACTTCTTTTTGCTGTGGTTGTCCCACCTGATGACGGAAGCTTGTGTTGCCTCCGAAACGTCGTGATTTAATTTAGTTGTTTTCATTTTTATTTATTTTCACCTACGTGACTTCACCGAAAGAACCAAAGAGTATGGATTCCTGCAGTCACGAAAACTTCAAATCTAGAATTACTTTGAACTTCTTTCGCACCGCACGTAGCCAACCATGCTAATTGGAGGTGCGGGAGAAGAACAACAAACTAAATCCTCGGGGCTGGTCTACGACAAATTGTTTTTGATTGTTTTACGCAGTCATTAGAAACTGGGTCGTGACCATACTCTTTGGTTCTTTCGGTAAAGTCACATCAGGTGGGAAAGGTGGAAAAGCTTTCCCACCTGATGACGGACGCTTGTGTTGCGCCCGAAACGTCGTGATTTATTTTATTTTATACCCACGTGACTTTACCGAAAGAACCAAAGAGTATGGATTCCTGCAGTCACGAAAGCTTCAAATCAAGATTGGGTCGTGACCATCATCACCCCGCATCACTTGAGAACCCAGTTTAATTACCGGTGGCTAAAACCCGGATTTGAAAACCAGGATCTCGACCCAAGATCTGAATGGTGCCAGCTCCGTGTGCTCTGGACAGCCCTCCCCCCCCCGAGCCATCTCGGCAAACTCGCTGCAACACATTTTGAGCATAAAACTACAAACGTGCATGTCGCAAGAAACCTACCCCGCATAAGCGCCGGCTCACCTGAGTCAGAACGTTGTTGGCAAGTTGAGATGGTTGTCCCGTACGGAGTGTTTCACCACATGTCAATTTCCTGGTATTTGTAAACTTAAACGCTCGCAACTTGGCGAGCCTGATTTAAGTGAAAAGCCATATTTGTATCCTGCAGTGGCTTTTTTTTTTCATCGCCCACTGATACTTCAACTGTGCCAGTCAGGTTCGTGGTCGAGACTAAATGACAGAGTGGCAGCCCAAAGGGAGTGGATACTCCCGAGAGGTATTTTTACTCCACGAAAGTGGATTCGGCCACGTCCAGATGCACTATGCAGTTTGGTTATTACATCGCGGGATCAGGAGAGAATAGTGATGGCTTGGGGGGGGGAGGCATTGATCCAGCAGTGACTAGATCAACCCCGCTGAGGTGACTTGGTTAGAGGTTCCACAGGTACCTTGATCGTAATAAACATGTGGAGAGAGTTCAGTTAGATATTTTCCGTTCTTGTATTTTTTTCCCCCGCTCCAAATGCGCTGTCTGCAGAGTACTGACCTGTTCCACTTTCTTCCTCCCCGTGTGCTCTGTGCTGCCACCACAGATGGTTCCACCCCAACATTTCAGGGATCGAGGCGGAACATCTGCTAATGACGCGTGGCGTGGATGGCAGCTTCCTTGCCCGACCCAGCAAGAGCAACCCCGGGGATTTCACGCTCTCCGTGAGGTGGGTTCGGGTGGTGAAGTATGCTCGATTATTCCCCCCGGCCCCATTGGACGGAGTGGGGGAGGCCTTAATCCAGCAGCGGATGGACAAGGGTTCGACATGTGTACATCACGTGGGTTCCTCCCCTCCCGCATCTCTCTGCCCTTCCCCCTCTCTTCTCGCCTCTCTCCTCTCCCTCCTCCTGCCACCTCTCCCGTTCCCTCTCTCCGTCCCTCTATCCCACCCGCTCCTCCCCTCCCTTCGCACACTCGCACTCATTTCCTCTCCTTTCCTGCAATCTCTCCGTCCTTATTATGCTCAACACTCCACTTGTATCTCATCTCTTAATCTGCTTCCACTCTCCGATCTTTCCATCTCTCCATCCTGCCTGTAGTTCTCTCTGACCTCTCACTCTCTTGTTCTCTCACTCCCTTCTCCGAGACTCTCATCGTCCCAAACAGATGGTGCTTCCCCCTCCCGCTCACGGTGGAAAAAAAAGTCCTGGATCCACACACGCCCCACGGTCCTAAAATGTAACACTCTATCCATTACACAGTCCGACTGTCAACTTTGTCTATTGACGCACGCGCGCTGTCATGACGTGCCCAAGCCCTCTTGCGCCAGAGCAATTCGGGTCGACTCCCGCTAATCTGTGACACACCGGAGCAGCGCTCGCGCAAGCCGGGTATTTGAATGGGCGACTTTAATCCATGGATTGGCAGCGCCGTGAATTCACAAGCACGCTGGGGAAGTGGGGGGGGGGGGGGCGCGCGCGGCTCTGCGCCGATATTGATCTCGGCGTCTCTTAATACCAGGTTCGTAAAATCCCGCACGTGGATTTTTACGCACGGTGTCGGCATGTGACGGTCTGTGTTAAGCGCGAGGCCACCGTAAAGAAGGCATGTGGCGGCGAACGTTGGCTCTGTTTGTGGCGTTAATCAGAACCTATACCATTCATCGTACAGGCTATGTTGCGCTATTTCTATCTCTCCCATTTAAATCTCTCCCATTTAAGTTGCGTGTAAGGATGTGCCTGTGTGTATGTGTGTGCGCATTTGTTTGCATGGTGTGGAGCAGAGTGTTGCGGTTACCGATCCGCACTAGAACTCATTGACACTAGTTCAATTTCTGCTCATGACCGATACCAGTAACGATTATGTCAACTGGTCTTGGGCCTCACCTAGGTCAGCTTGGTCTCAAATGAGTACCTGCTGTCATGTGTAAGCATCGCCATTGGGGAGACAAATGCGGCCGGGCGTGGTGCTGGCCACCCACCCCCCTCGTGTGCCGTGCCGGCCTTCATAGGTGCTGCTCACTAACAGCACTTTCCCCAAACAGTCTGTTAAGGCTATACGGGGGATCTTTTCTTTGCTTGTGTAGTGGTGGTGTTGACGTGCGCCGACAGTGATGGATCACGGGGCGCGGGGTTGGGCACGCGATGTGGGCGTGGTATGGACGCGCGCGCCGGTGGTGAGGCGCGCTGACACGAGGTGGGAAAAGAGGATCGTAGCCAGCGCGCAGTGATTGGTCAAATAGGATGGGTGCTCTCAGCGACGTCCGCAGGAGGTGCATAAAGGGGGATGCGCGAGAGCACTCGAGGTCGTTGTTAACCAGTTGAAGACCGAAGACGGAGTGGAGGAGGTAGTGGCCCGAGACCCCTAGTCCCGCCGTCCTTGTCAGGACCGGGGCCCTGTGTGGCTCGGAGCCGAGACTGTGGGACCCGTAGTCCGACGCCCGTGTGGGTCGGGACGGTGGTACCCAGAGCCGAGACGGACACCCCGGCCGGGTGTGTTCCGGAAGGCTACGGGGCGTAAGAGCCCGTGTCAGTGTAGCTGAGTGGGTGTTAGTCACCCGAGTAGCTAAGTGGGTGTTAGTCACCCGTGTAACTGAGTGGGTGTTAGTCACCCGAGTAGCTAAGTGGGTGTTAGTCACCCGTGTAGCTGAGTGGGTGCTAGTCACCCGAGTAGCTGAGTGGGTGCTAGTCACCCGAGTAGCTAAGTGGGTGTTAGTCACCCGTGTAACTGAGTGGGTGTTAGTCACCCGTGTAACTATAAGTTGGTGAAATAAAAGAGTGTGCTACCCGTGAAGTCGTTTCCCGCCGAATTACTACTTTACAACTGGCGTCAGAAGTAAACCTGTCTTCAAGAAGAATGGACACAAGGAAGACTACCCGTACCCACGAGCAAGATCGGGGAGACGACGGCGTACCGGAGACACCAACCTCGGGAGGAGAGGACGAGGAGTTGCCGCCGATGCAGCACTTCGCGGCGATGGCCGATGCTCCGCTTGCCTCCGACACCAGCCTACAGGACGCACACTCCCGCCTGGCGGAGTTGCTGCTCGCCGCCGCTGCAATTTTGGCGGAAATCTCCGTTCCAGCGGGCGGAGGGACGGCTGCGGGGTTGGAGGAGGGAGCGCGGCTGGAGGGATCCCGCCGGAAGGCGCTTCGCGCCAAAAGTTTTGAAGTTGGCGCCATTTTTGAGGGTCCGCCACCAATTGGCGGGAAGCGCGGACACCACGTGGCCGGAGATCTCCACACAGCGCAGCCCGCGTCATCGGCGCGCGCCGGAGCTCTCCATTATGCGCCTGCAGACGGAGCCGACATTTTCTGCAACCACAGCGGCGCGCGGGAAAATCGTTCCGACGACGACGACGACCGAGTCCTCCAGCAACGATTGCCCGCGCTGTCGGCGTTCAAGGCAGACGGGGGCGACTGGGGAGCCTTCCAATGAAGGTTCCTCGCACATCAAGAAATGTCGGGGTGGTCCGACACCACTGCCCTGCGCGCGCTGCCAGCGATGCTCGACGACGACGCGCTTGAAGCCTTCACATCTGCCCCGAGGTCGTCCCGCTCAACACTCCAGGCCGCGCTACACCTGATGGCTAAGGTGTTCGGGCCACCCTCGACCTGTCGCCACCATTTCTACGATCGGCGAAAGGTGGTTGGAGAAACAACGCTCGCCTATCGCACGGCGCTGCTCGCCCTGGCGGACTCAGCTTTTCCCCGCATGGACAAGGAAGGGAAGGACGCCATGGTGACGGAGCAGCTGCTGGCGTTGGCTCACGACTTGGGAGTTCCCATCAATACGGCGGACGAAATGGACATCTGCTCCCTGGGGATTGCCACAAGTATTCACGCTTACGAAGTCCTCAAGCGCAAGCCGACGGTCGTCTGCGCATCGGCGGGGAACGGGGCACCGGCCGCCACGGTCGCCGGACCTCAGCCTGCTGCGGCTCGGGAGGAGGCCTTCGCCGTTTCGAGACCGGGGGAGTGGAGAACGGGAGGTCGTTCGCCCACACGTTCATCCCGCAAGCTGGAGCAACCGAAACCTACGACGTCCCTCGTCGTCTGCTACAACTGCGGCCTTCGGGGCCACGTCGCGTCCGGGTGCCGGGCTCCGCGTCAGCGCGCCACGGGACCACGTCCGGACGACGACCAGGGCCACAAGTCATCCCAGCTAAACCCGGCAAGTCGCGGCACCTCACACGCTCGGTCCTCATACACGGCACGTTCGGGTCGCCGCTTGGTGGTGGGGGGACCGCGTATGGGTACCGAGGGTTCGGTTCGGCGAGGGGGGTTCGTACACGGCCCGAAAGCAGTCGAATGGTCCGAATTGGCCCACAGGATAGTGGCTGCGTCGGCCGGGTCGTCCGTGGTAACGGGGTTTATTGACGGGGTTGAGGTTCGGGTGCTTGTGGACACGGGTGCGTCGGCCACTATCATTTCGGACCTTATTTATAACATTCTGCCCGTCCAATGTCGACCCCTTCTGCCGGTGGACGTACCATTTTACGCGGCGAACGGGGGATCCTTGGGAATCATCGGCCAGATTTGGGCGACTATTTGTATTGGCGATATCAAATTGGCGGGTCCTATTTTTGTATCATCATCGCTGGCCGTTCCTTGTTTACTAGGTACGGACTTTCTGTCTAAAATGCCCATCAAAATTCTCATTGATCAGGCCTGCATTGAGTTTCCATCGGGACGGCGGGTTGCGTTTTTGACGAGTCCTACTAAAATACGCACGGTTTGTGTGACGGTGCAGGCGCTGGCAACTCAGACTGTACGGGTGCCCCCGGGATCGCAAATGTTGGTACCCCTTCGGTTGAGAAAACCCCTCGGGGTGGATGCGGGGGCACAGGGAGTTCTGTTGGGGCCGTCTAACAGAGCAAAAGGGGGCCTCGACTTGGCGGTAGCTCAGACCATGGTGAGGGGGGACAGCGAGCCGTTCGTTATGGTCCTGAATACGGGGTCGCGGCCGGCCGTGATTACACAGGGAACGGTGCTGGCTCACGCCGCGCCGCTACCCGTCGAGGAACAGCTCGTTGCTCACGCGGATTCGCGTGCCGATACGCATCTTCAAAGTGAGGAGGGGACAGAGTGGTTGGACTCGTTGTGTGCCGGATCTAGTAACTTGTCCAGTGTGCAGTTGGGAGCATTGAGGGGCTTGCTACTCGAGTTCGCTGACGTGTTTAGCAGGCACAAGTACGATATTGGCTGCACAGACCTGTTGCGCCACCACATAGCTACAGGGGACGCGGCCCCTATTCGACAGAATCCCTTCCGGCTCAGCCCAGCCGAGAAGGAGCACGTGCAGTCGGCGGTTAATGACATGTTGGCGGCCGACATCATTTCGCCCTCTTCCAGTCCGTGGGGTGCTCCTATCGTCTTGGTTAAAAAACAGGACGGGTCCTTGCGGTTCTGTGTCGATTTCCGCCGCCTGAACAAAATCTCAATGGCCGATGCGTATCCGCTCCCCAGGATGGATGAGTCGCTGGATGCCTTGGCGGGAGCACAGTTTTTTTCGACGCTCGATCTGCTTTCGGGATTTTGGCAATTGCCCCTCGATGACGAATCGAGGCCAAAAACCGCTTTCCGGACACCGGGAGGCCTATTTGAATTCAACCGATTGCCCATGGGCTTACATTCCGCTCCCGCCACGTTCCAGAGGCTCATGGAATTGGTTTTGTCAGGCCTCCAATGGGACACCTGTTTGATTTACCTCGATGATATCATCGTT